TTTTAAAGAAAAGCTGGATGTGGTGGCGCATGCCTCTAATCCCAGCACTTGGGATGCAAAAGCAGGCAGATCTCTGTGAGTTCTACATAGTGAGTTCCAGGACAGCTGGGGCTACAGGGAGACCCTGTCTCAAAAAGATCAAAAAAAAAAAAATGGAAACAACCTAAATGTCCATCAATCGATGAATGGTTAATGAAAATGTGGTACATCTACTCAGTGGAGTTCTACTCAGCAGTAAAAAAAAAGATGAAATTATGAAATTAGCAGGTAAATAGCTGGAGCTAGAGAGTGTTAAATACTAGGAGAAATGGCACAAAGGCAGAAAAGCAAGCAGCATATGTTCTTCCTCATTTGTGGATTGTAGCACCAATCCCTTATACATGAGTATATAAATTCTGATGTAACACCAGGATGTTCTCCCTCATATGTGGATCCTAGGTAAAGGAAAAGAAATAACCTGAAAGAGAAGAACAGTAGGAAACAGGCCTTAATAAGGGAGATATGGATAAAAATTGGGTTAGTTTAAGGGAGGGGGAGGGAAGGGTATACAAGGAACCTAGGGGATAAAGGGAAAGAAGGAGCTCAAGAGAGGTAGGGCCATAGAAGAACGGTATTATTAAGTGAGAAAGGGAGGAAATGGGAGTACCTTAAGTGGGAAAACCATGATGGAGGGGTGAGACAATGTGAGAGATAAATAATGCCTAGCTACTTTTGAAAACCAGAGGGAACCATGTTACTCCTACAACGTACTGACAAATTATACATAGCAGATCAAGAAATATATGTCTAGGTAAGGTTTATCTGAGAACACTTGGTCTTTGCCCAAGATTTATCTACATGACACACAGTAATTAAAAGTACCAGACTGGTGGAATTACCCGTCCTGGATGTTTAACAGACATAATTTGAGGCCTATAATAATTTGGTTAGAGGGACATAAAGGACAGTTTTTGCTCCTTGCCCTCCTAGGTTGACTAGTTCCAGGGGACTATGAGCATCTCTCAAAATGTCCTGTAACTGTGGTGAGTCACCTATCCTCTTGATCAAGGAGGCTGAGGAGACCCCACGAGATGGACTTGAACCAGTGTCCAGTCTACAAAGAGGAGGGTCAACACAGAGGAATCATTTCCTCCATGCTTCCAAGCGAAGCCAGCCATGGTCGAGCAAAACCTTTGATTTATCTTCACAAAAATGGAACTGGTAAAATAAAGGAGCCAGGGGCTCTTCCCATGTCCATGTGACCCCTGAGGAACAGATCCTCAAATGACCTTAAGAG